GAAGAGCGAGGCAAAATTAATAACAGAGTGAGACGAGCATCCCCTTGTTCGCGCCTCTTCGCTCGATTCTCCGGCTTGGCTTTCCATTAACAAAAATGATAACGAAACGAAACCATAGCAAGAGAGAGGGGAACGACAAAAACAATATAAAAAACCACAACAAACAAAAATGGGTGAACCGAGAGAGATAGATACAGATAGAGATAGATACAGATAGAGATAGAGAGAGAGAGAGAGAGAGAGAGAGAAATGGATGATGATGATGATGATGATGATGATGATAACGAGGACGAGGACGAGGACGAGGACGAGGAAGAGGAAGAGGAAGAGGAAGAGCGACGGATACTAACGGATAAAATAGTTTACATAACTCAAGATGGCCGATACGGGGCGTGGCTTGGAAATGTTCGAGGCTGTACGTGCACCACCATGTACGCAGAAAGGGCGAGATGGAGCAGGCGAGCGGGTGGAAAATCACCCGACCATTCAAGGAGAGCGCCGATGAGGGTGCGAGGAGAAAAGCCCGGGCTCGTACGTGTGCGAGAAAGGGGAAATTACTACGGTGGCGTACTATCATCGGTTGTACTACCTCGTTTTCCCACCCACGCATACACGCTCGTGATGCTGCACTTTAGGCGTGTACACGCGACTCGCTCGCCGGCGTTTCCTCCCCTTTACGCGTCGGCGCCTTATTGACACGAGCCCATGCGCCCAAAGTCAAAGGCATTGGTAACTTTTTAATATGGTGATTGGACACCGAGTGAGTGGACACATTCATCATACATCAAGGATTCACCAATCCTTTCGATTATTCCTTCGTACGCTTTATAGGGCACAAAGTTTTTTGCGTGATACTATATTTGCGATAAAGAGGATTTTTTTTTTTCAGATAAAAAGGGATTTTTTTTAGATAAAAAGGTCTAGGTGAGAGGGAAAAATATCTTTGGCGTAAATTTGATAAAGTTGACTGTGCCAAGTAAGAAAAGCTTTCTTTTTTCTTTTTTTTTTTTTTAGCGTAATAATCAGAAACTTAGGGTGAAAAAAATCTTTTTCTTTCATGTCCTAGTTTAGTGGGAATACATGTGAAATGGATCAGATATCATTTTCGATTTCTATTGAAATGTCTATTGAAATCCCAAATGGGAACGTAATATTGACGTGCTTAGAAAATATTCTAAAGTGTCTGTTATAATATACAAATTAATTGCTATAGGAATATGTATAAAAAATACAACTATACATTGTCGGAATTAAGGCGCATATGAACATAAAAATTCAATTTACAAATAGTATGATGTAATATTTAAAAATTGAGTGAAAAGTTTGATTAGATTTTTCGGAATTCGGAAAATTGTTAAGCTCCTAAAGGGAATCATAATTATTTTTCCTACGTTTCCTACGACCAAAGTATAATAGGCATAATAAGCGTATGTGACGTAAATCATTAAAATTTATTTAGATTCGGGTGATGCTTTGCAACTCGATACTTGCATGTTTTTCTAAATTTCGAAAACAATCCACTACTTATAGCTTGTAAAAGATATCCGACTGATAAAAATATTGTGTCTCAGGTGCTACAACTTGAATAGCCTTAATATATCGCTAAGAAAGAAATTTTGTTTTTTGTTTTTGTCTTTACTAAGACAATTAGTTTCTCTGAATGATCTGAACTTTCCATAAAAGACGTCCATTACATTATCTTATAATGCATGCAAAAAACATGATGCAACGTTCTATAATAATTAATTCCTATTATAAAATAAGATATCCTTCATGATGTTTCGAGCAAATTTGTCAAAGCAATTTTGAATAATTGGGAAATACTGAAAAATTTGGAAAGCTAATTTGAAAAATTGAATGCAATATGATCGGAATACTATTAGATCTCACGTGAAAAACATTGTATTAATGTATAGTGAAATAGCCTGTTTATTAGTTGTTAATGATAAATTTCAATTTAAGGACCGTTCTATGTATAACACATGAAATAGAAAAAATTTTGTCTCAAACATAAACGAGTGATGTTTTACGTGTACCAATGATTAATATGCATAAATTTATTAGAGATCATGTTTTTGTCTCGATAATAAATCGACTCGGGGTAATTTATTTTTTAAATTCTTAAGCCAGAGACAAAATTAATGCAATTATTATTACGAATTGCCAAAATTAAGAACACCAAGTTTTTCGATTCAAATCAACGTAAAAACTGCAAACTGAAGAATAACTGACGAGTGGCTAGATTAGATGAATAAATATGAATTTTCAAACGCATCTATCAAGCATAATTATTTTATTACGATATTTCTGCGTCATTATTTACGAATCTGTTGCTGTGTTTAATAAATTACACATTAATAAATTGAGCATAAGATTGTTGGGCTTGTAATTTTTTTTTTTTTTTTTTCACGGTAAAACGTATGTTCGAGGAGATGTTTAAATTAAAATTAGATAAATGTGCATAATAAGTACAATAACAATAATTTCCATCTGTTCGAAAAGCATTATCATTAATATGCCGGCTATGGAGGGAATTTGAGACGCTGAAATGTTTACACAATCGAGGTACGAAAAAAAAAAAAAAAAAAAAAAATGTAATTTAAAACCTGTTAGATTACAAAACTCCCATTGATGTCTTTGCCACTGGCTGTTTATTTTTGAAAGACCTTACGTCTCTCAACTCCTAGAACGTTCAAGGCAATCATGTGTCCAAGAAGAGTCGACCAGGTACGAAATCCGCAACAATCGACCCAATGAAATTTCGATTGTAAATGGCTTGGGTTGCGGGAGAGCCTTGAGAAGGTTGCGGAACCAGAATTGGACAGCCATGTCGGGTGTAAATTCGGGGGATAACGGGGAGGAAACGTTGGATTGGCGGGGCTCGACACCACCAAGAAAACTAACAAAGATCTCGGGTCGATAGGCATGCATCGACCGGGCGAAGGGCTAGTTCCGGGTAAGGCCAAGCGTACCTGCTGCATCTTTTCAAAGTCAAGACAGGGCCTGGGCAATCTGTGGGGCGGCCTGTGTCTCTTTCTGGGACTGCAAGCCCCGATCACGTCAAGATCCGCCATGTCCTGTTCATGTTGTTGTTGTTGTTGTTGTTGTTGTTGCTGCTGCTGCTGATGTAGATGATGGTGGTGTTGCTTGTGTTGTTGTTGTTGTTGTTGCTGCTGATGCTGATGGTGCTGTTGTAGCTGGATTTGCTGTTGCTGCTGCTGCTGCTGCTGCTGCTGTTGTTGTTGCTGCTGCTGTTGCTGTTGCTGCTTCTCCTGCTGCTGCTGCTGTTGCTGTTGCTGCTGTTGCTGTTGCTGCTGTTGCTGTTGCTGCTGCTGCTGCTGCTGCTGCTGCTGCTGCTGCTGCTGCTGCTGCTGCTGCTGCTCCTGCTGCTCCTGCTCATCTAGATTATGTTTGTGGCTGTGGTTGTGACTATGATGATGATGGTGATGGTGGTGGTGGTGATGATGGTGGTGATGGTGGTGGTGATCGAGGCTCGCGTGGGGCCTTGGCCGCGAACGGGGCCTGTGGTGGTGTGCGTGAGCCGAGGCGTGAAAGAGCTTCGGGGGCGGCGAGAGCGATCGCACCGGCTTATGGGCGTCCGTCGGTGGCGAGCTACGGAACTGCACCGGCTGGGAGATCGCCCGGCTGTAGCACAGGCCCTGGACCTAAACAGGTCAGTTGGCATAAAGTTAATAGGGATTTTATCGGCTGCAACGGAGTCACGGAGCTCTCGACACTCACTCTCATCGACAACAATGAAAGTTACTCTATTTTTCATGTACGTATGAATTTACGAGTACTCTCGATATTGTGGTATATGCAGTCGGTCGACTGATATCGGGAGTACAACTTGGTGATGCCGATATAGCGTAAACGGCTTGTTTTTATTTAATGATAAAGTCATAATGCGCGGCTGCTCGTTTGCGTTAAAAATTCATGACCATCGGTCATCGTGAGGATGACCTCCTCACTCGCGAGGAACTCCTAATTCTTAAGGTAGGAGAGCATCAATTAGATTATTTAATTATACTCGGTTGTTCTTCTGTGGAAAGAACGTACGTTCCGTTATAACGAGTGCTAATTCTCGAGTTAAATTACAATTATTAGTTCTTGTTTTTTCGGCCTTACGTGTTGCTCGCATTAATAATTGATTAAAATTTCGCTATGCTTAGTTGCATCGCTTTGGTATAGTAATAAGATCCGATGAAGATGTTGATAGCGCTTAGTGATGAAATGATCGATAAAAAATGTATAATAGAAGAACAACCGAATTAGTATGCGAGGATGAACGCAGACTTACGCGACGATGAATTATGTAATGCCTGCATTTAAATTTTTTTTTTTTTTTTTTTTTTTTTTAACGAGTACTTTAACAAGGTAAGGTAAAGAATAGGTAAAAAGGCAATTGTTCGTAAAACGAAAGCAAATATGTAAAATTCAATGCGAGAATACATTAACCGATAATGCACGCACGATATGGCTAACAAAATTTTACGTTTATTGGCGTTATTTGTACTTTAGAATTGTAGTTCGTGACGCATAAGTTTTGATGAATTACGACATTTGAGTTTCGCTCAAATTTATTTAAATTTATATGAGGAAAAGAGACAGCCGTAAATATTCCAATCCCAGGATCTTACGTCGTATTTGTAACAACTAGACTAACGATCATTGACATAGCTGACCTCCTCGTCGCTGGACCCGGAACCAGCCTCCCGTCCGGTTCGACTAACCGGCGCCGAATATACGGTGCCGGCGGCCTCTCCGTCGTCGGGCCTTTGCTGCTGAGTCTGTAGCTGCTGCTGTCCACAGCCGCTGTTCGCCTCGGACCATTTGCGCTTCTCCGGGGCAGCGCTGGGCCTCGAGGGTACGGGCGCCTGGGCGACGGTAGCCGCGGCTTCCGCGAATCTCGGCCCGTTTATCACCTCGAGCTCCTCCTCGGAGCTGTGCTGGTCGGTCTGGGCGAGCCTCAACAGGAAGTCGTACGACTGCTCGATCGGAGGTGTCTCCGTGCTGCTGCAACCGCTGCTGCTGCTCGCCGCCTGGTGCCTCAACCCGTAGATCGTCGTCGACGTAGGTGGCGACACCCCGAGGTCCGCGTCCGACGGTACCGCGCTGTCCCGGGCGGCCGCTTCCTCCAGACTGTCCATTGCTGCAACGTGAGAGAGGAGCGAGAGAACCGCGTTAAATTTGCCTTTCTCACTTTTGCCAATATATAGGTAAAACTTTTACGAAAAATGTCGATTGTGCAAATTATTGTATATTATTGTTGCGCGATAATGGCCGCAGCTCGTAATGAGCTACCGAGTAAGTAGAGACGCAGGCCTCTCTGACTATCGGAAAGCGCCATATTATAGAATATCAAGCACCGTCTTCAATACCGACGCTTGAGAAAAGTTTTTCTGGCACTTTTTCAAGTGTCAGCAGGCCTCGCTCTTAAGCTTAGTCCCTGTCACTTCACGCCATTCAATCATCATAAATTACGTTTTATCACTTTCGTAAAGCACACCATGATCCGATGGACAGGTGGCTATACTCCGGCAAATAATAAAACAAAATAAATATATTTTATTAACTTCGATTTCTAGTGTCTTATTTACCGGCCCTCGGGGCATTTGTTCCATAATTTCAAAACATAGATTATCCAAGGAAATAAACAAAATTATTATAAAAATAATGCTAGTTTCATTGTGAAATTAAGAAATTTATAAGCTTTTTTTATGCTTTCAATAGCTCAACCTTTCATCATAAATCTTATTAAATATTATCAACATTGCATTAAATATTATAAATCATGGGTATAAAAAAGCAACGCTTTGCCATAATTCTTTTAGAATCTATTTGCGTTGCGTATAATTATATATTTATATCGCTTGTGGAAAATTATGAATAGACAAATGTAATAATGCTTACCAATCATACTATTGTCGCCATATTAATTTAAAGTGATCAATGCAAAAATATAGCGACAAAAATTGTTCTGATAATATATAAATTCCGCATGTCACAAACACTGTAATTCGATAAATAATATTAAATTTATCTAAGCACATATTGTGATGTATGAACGTATATGCGTTTATGTATAGTGCAAATATATTTTTATAAAATTTTAGACTATTTACTTCAATTTTGTATTTCCTCAAATATAATGTAAAACACGTTCGTAAATAAAATCTCCTGACTTAAAAGATTAAAAACACATAATTACATAGAAAAAAAGCAAAAACAAAAAAAAAAAAAAAAAAAAAACAACAAATCAAATTTAAATTAATTAAAGTTGTTTAAACAAATATTTTTATGTAATTAAACTAGTATGAATAACTTTTTAAGAAAACTTAAAAGGTCATTAATAAAATAAAGCAGCAATAACGATTCTATAAAATTTCTTTTGGCTTCAGCTACAATAGAAAAAAAATTATAACCCTCGTATTTCAAAACCGGTTCAATATTTCCTGAGATGCAGTAAAACTACAGAGGCGTAGCAAATACGCAACGCATTTTTTTTGAAATCGCGTAGTTTTACTTCTAAGGACTTTTAGAACTTTATGCAATTATCTTTTAACCTTTCCTCTTATTTTTCGAAATCACATGTTCTTTACTATACTGCAAACATCTTCATATATTTACTGTTGAGCATAGCTTTACTTACACCCATATGAATGTATTTTTATTTAGATTTAAACTTTAAAATTTCAAATATTGAAATTAATACTAATAAAAATTATTAACCAAAAATGAATAACATAAATATTTAACTTAAAAAGAAAAAAAAAATCAAGATTTACGGTCCTATCAATAGCAGAACTACACTCAACTAAATAGATTTTTTATTTTAAATTTCTTAAATAATCCATCTGTTATTATTTATTTATAATTTTTAGAATTAGTAAATATGTATTAATGTCATATAGTAAAATAAAAAACAGTCATGACTTTATATTGATTATCGGTACTTTTTACGTATAGCAAATCAATTTTATCCTGTTTTTTTTTCTTTCAAAGGGTAAGTGATGTATATATATATATATATATATATATATATATAGAGAGAGAGGGAGAGAGAGAGAGAGAGAGAGTGTGAAAACAAAAATTAATTTATTCAATTCCAAAAGCTGTTTTATAAATTAAAGGTCTCCTTAAGGTACACTTATGCCTTAAAAAAGAAAATTTTACAATCACTATGTAATTCATCTGCTTTAAATATATAAAATAAATTTCATACTGCATATATAGTTTAACTATAGAGCAGATGTTGATTGTGATTCATTAAGATTCGTAATTTTGTAAAATTTTTTATTTAGCAAATAAAATATTTTTATTTACATTTTTAATATATTCAATTGGAACTCAATATGTTGAATTTTATATTAAAATTTATTTTCTAAACATTTTTTAATTTCCTATTTAATGATTTCAATGGTCACGCGAAGAATAAAGTATCATTATTAATATATACATATATATATATATATATATATATATATAAACGGATATCAAATAACATTATCTTTTATTTGAAATACTTTCAAGCAACTTTTGAAGAATGTTATTTTTCTCCTTTCTTTTACTTAGTTTTATTGAAAAATGGAGATAAAGATATAATTTTGTAAAGTTCAATTCCATTATAAATAAAAAATCTTTACTATTTTCCATCACTTGAACATTATTTTACATTGCATATCGAAACTTAATAGATACGGAAGCTAATTTTTGAAATATAAAAAAGAAATGATTGAGGTAAGCTAATAAAATTATGACAATTATTTGGAGTTAATCATTGTTAACAAAGTTTCCGAGACTATTTCTTGTTTTTTGCTTTTATTTGCTTTTACAATTTGATAAAATGTGTATCTATTGTAAATTTTACATATTATATCACGATGTCGATAAGTAAATTATTGACCCTATTTTTTTTTTTTTTTTTTTAGAATTGAAACGTATCTGTATGTATAATCTTAATTAAGAAATTTGAATATCGCATAACATGATTTCTTCATTATCATGATTGAAAAATATTTATAAATATAATGTATAAGATATTATATCGTATCAAAAGAATTATAATTCTATGTCCGATTATTTATAATCAGATTATCGTAACAAACAACATGTGAATTATTATAAAAATACATTTCCAGCATAAGACCTTATAACATTTGATCTAAATAACCAATATTACTTTGTAAATATTTTACCTATTTAATAACGTTTTTATCTTCCTAATGATTAGTGTACTATTATTATTGATCGTAAAACCAAGTAATAAACGAATAATTAGTATAAAGAGAGAGAGAGAGAGAGAGAGAGAAATATACAAATGGTCGGTAGTATTGTACTCGAACGCGAATAAAAATATCTTCCAAGTAAAATAAATTAATTCATCCAAGCCGAGCTTTCACGAATGACAGATTTCAATTGATGACAAGCAACGAGCATTAAACGAAATTCTCACTTCAAACGAAAATTCCAATTTTTTTTTTTTTTTTACCAAACGGTCTTTAAATCACTGTTATTTAATTTTCATAAAACCCGGGAAATTATTGTTTTAACGACATTTTAATTCCCATTGATAAAGCCTCGAATTCGCTATTTTTCACCAATTCCGTCCCGGATATTTCCGCATATCCTACTTCTCTGATTCAGTTTCGAATGATCTTTCAATCTTCCTTATTCTCTACATTTCGCTTTTCCATCTAAAAATCCTATTTCCTTCTCTTTTATTTTCGATTTTTGCTACGTACCCAGTCCATTTCAATGTGTGCTTTAATTATACTCTGAATATTGGATAAACCATAAAATAAATTTTTAAGTACTTTTAAATAGTTTATCGGCTGTGTATTTTAAATTGAAGTTTATGTTTGTTTTTTTTTTAATTATTATTATTATTATTATTAAAATTTTGTGGAAAGTAGATCAAATATATATTTTTGTAGTAAATATTTTATGAGCGGTCGAGTCAGCTCTATATTTTTTCAAAGCTTATAATTATACATATATACTTATAATATATACATTCAAAGCTTATAATTCATTATCATTTATCATTCATCAGAAAATTAAGATCTAATTTGAATAAAAAAAAAAAAAAAAAAAAAAACTGGAACAATATGATAACTCTCGACGTACATTATTTTTCTATTTTTGGAAAACCATAAGAGATATTTAAATTGGAAAATTTAAGATAATTTATTTCTAAGCAAGTAAAAAATGAAAATTGACGTATAACGGGCACGAGCAGCAAAATACTAACTCTTTATTCATAATAAATTTTTGAATTCGTAATTAAAGAATTCGTAAAAAATAAATGAATTCAATAATAATGCCGGACACCATTCTTTTGGTATAAAAATTCATTAAAACAGCTAATACCAATAGCGTGAAAAAAGTATTGACAATAATAATAAGCAATAGCTATATAAATACCTCCAAAGTCATAAAGATATATATATATATATATATATATATATATATATATATACATATATACATATATACATATATATTATATTGAAATAATGGAAAAGTCAACGTTGAATAATAGAGTTCTATCGTCTCGCAAGTGTATATAATTAAAATCGATTGCTCTCGCCCGCTTGACTTCTAATATTCAACAAATTCTCTGGAAAATTACAGGAAAGTTAATGATTAATCCAGTGCGAATAAGCAGCGTGAATATTGCATTTGACCAACTTATTCCATGAGAGTGCTCTAATAATTTTAATAACATTATTGTGCATTAAGTCGTAATGGAGAGTGAGAGCAGCGAAGGTAGCTCAGGCTCGATCTTAACGAGGCTCCAACCATTTTCATTTTCGCGCAAATCCATCCCCATAAAAAGCCGACCACGCAATTTTCCTGAAACAGTCGTCGGCTGTAAGGTTGGGATCCTCCTCTTATTAGTCTCTTATTTGCTAGACGGTGCGTAACAATATTACTCGCCATTATCACGCCAGGCTTACTCGAGCGTAACGAACAATCGGTAATTTGTGAAAGTAAGGAGTGCGAGATGTAAGGGAGGAGGTGCCGAAGTTGCTGGGCGCCAGACCCGCGGCGAAATCAAAGCTAAGGCGAATCCTTCTTCAATCGGCGACTCCATTATGTGACCTCGCCGACGTCAGCTGATCGATAGATGTCACTCCGCCGGCGCCT